GGGAAGTTCTCGTGTGAGTTCCTAGAAACAAAACCGTGAGGGCGTGGTCAGGGCCCAAAGCGGACAATATTGTGCTACGACGGAGTCGAACCCGGGATGTGGTCGGGGCCCGGGCCGAGATATGACAATTTGGTATCAGAGCCTAACCCTGGCCGCGTGTGTGTCAACGAGGATGTCGGGCCCCCAAGGGGGTGGATTGTAAGATCCTACATTGCCCAGGGGAGAAGTTCTTGTGTAAGTTTCTAGAAACAAAATCGTGAGGGCGTGGTCGAGGCCCAAAGCGGACAATATCGTGCTACGACGGAGCCGAGCCTAGGATGTGGTGGGGGCCTGGGCCGGGATGTGACAATTTGTTATTAGAGCCTAACCCTGGCTGCATGTGTGCCGACGAGGACATCGGGCCCCTAAGGGGGTGGAAACAAAACCGTGAGGGCGTGGTCGAGGCCCAAAGCGGACAATATCGTAATACGGCAAACTTGAGCTCAGGATGTGATAGGGGCCCGGGACGGGATGTAACAATTTGGTATCAAAGCTTAACCCTGGCCGAGTGTGTGCCGACGAGGACGTCAGGCCCCTAAGAAGGGTGGATTGTATGATCCCACATTGCCCAGGGGAGTGGATCATGTAACCCTTATATGTATACTCCCATCTCTACCTAGCATGAGGCCTTTTAGAAGCTCATTGGCTTTGAGTTCCATAGGAACTCCAAAGTTAAGCGAGTAGCGCGTGAGAGCATTCCTAGGATGGGCGACCCACTGGGAAGTTCTCGTGTAAGTTCCCAGAAGAAAAACCGTGAGGGCGTGGTTGGAGCCCAAAGTAGACAATATCGTGCTATGATAGAGTCGAGCCAGGAATGTGGTGGGAGCCCGGACGGGGATGCGACACTTATCCTTAATTATAGGATTAGGATTTAAATCTCATTTTTTTTTCTTCTCATTCCCCAAACCATTCATTTCTCTTTTCTTGTTTCTCCCTTACAGTGCGTTATTTTGCCCAGTAATCTTGTGCTTTGGGTTCTTCATCTCATGTTTTTTTAACTTTGAAATTCGATAGCATTTTCACTAGTGTTTCCTCCCTCAATATTATTTTTCTTCACGATTTTTTTTTGGTTTTTATCTACCTATATCATTTGTCCTTTTTTTTTTTGTTGAATAATTGTATTTATCTACCTATATATATTACATATTTTGTTGATAATCTATCTAAGATTAATTGTGTTTATCAACCTACATATCACAAATTAATTGTGTTTTCTACCTGTACACTATGTTTTTGTTCATAGTCTATCTGTATCACAGATTATTTTGTATTATCTATCCATACAATAGGTTGTTGTTCATAGTCTACCTCTATCATAGATTCTACCTACATCACAAATTTTTTATTTTATTTTTTATCTACCTCTGGCAATGTTTCTTTTAATTTTTGATAAACTTATAAGATTTGTAATAATGTGTTTTTAATTAGAAAACGGGTAAATAAATGTATTTGAAGATTCAAATTTTAAAAATTCAAATTTAAAGAATTAAAAAAAAATTATTTTCAAGGGGCAAAACAGGTGTAATAGAAAATCAAATAAAATTGAACCCAATTAAAAAACAGCTAAATTTATTGGACCTAGATCAAAGTGCCCCTTAATTTTAACGAAATGATAAGACTCGTTAAGATAATAAGTATAACATGATAAGACTTGTTAAAATAATAGGTTTTACGCGAAAACGATATGAACACGACTGATCTACCACTGTACCTATCAATGTGAATTACGTACGTCCATAATTAGTAATGAAACACTTTGCATATGGCCCATTTTTGTTTCCTGATCTCTAACACAAACTTCCCTCTTTTGGCGTCGTGATTTCTGCCTAAAACTTCAGCAATATCTTTGTCTCGTGACGGAAATCCGTATTAGATTGTTTAACTTGGGCTTGTTTTTTGTTTTAGTGTTCTTTTTGTTTGATCATCATTTGGATTTAATTCATGATATTCTACTTAATGTTTGTATTAAAAAAAAAAAAAAAAAAAAAAGCTAACGAAATCGTTATTATTTCCTAAAAAATTATAATTAGTTTCTAGAGTCTAGACTTTAACTGAGCATTAAGATGATGATCTCATCAAACTCCAAAGGATAATGAATAGCCAGCCTGTTATTTCGTCAACCTAACATGCATGACTTTGTCAAGATTTCGGCAAAACCAAGACATTGGCTCTCTACTAACCATATTATTGTCCTCCAACTTGTATTTTATCACCCACACATCAAACTTTCATCTTATCACATGCAGTGGTGAGATTCGAGTCTTGGATGGTCTCAATGTTAAAGGTCTAAGCTTTTTAGATAGAAATAGTGTGTGAGACGTATAAAAAATAAATTCAGTTTTTTCATTGAGGCATTTGTTCGAACACTTGATGAGTAGTATCGAAAGAATTTGTCATGTGTTGTCCATGCAAGCTGTATGGCTAACATGTTTTACATCAAACATTTAGTAAGTACAAAAGGACTCGTAAAAAACATTTAAAGAATCCAAGGAATACCTTAGTCCCAGTGTGCATCCGCTTCTGACCACATGCACATCACATCCATTCAGGCTTACATATCGTTCAACTAAATACCGCCTCAAGATTTCAGAAGAGCAAGTCAACGGCTTACTATTAACTACGACATGTTGTCCTTAACTTGCATATCTTATCACATGCACGACATGGCAATATGAAGGTTTCATCACAAAATAATAATAATAATAGTAATATTAATATTAATGTAATCAAAAGTAAAACCACTCAATATAACTATATGTCATAATTAAAAAAAAAAAATCGATTGTATAAATGGATTCATGAACGGACTTTCCTTGCGACGTGTACAGTATATATGTGTATTTGCTTGACTTCCTGGTGGTACTGCACTCGAATTCTTTCATCGAGCATAAGCAGACATAGAAATTTCTTCTTCTTTTATTGACGAGAAGGTGAAAACTCATTGCATAAACTGGTGGCTGGTGCAAGTACAATTAAGTTCCATAATACTCCCCCACCAATTGTCACACATTGACTCAAGAACAATCACAAAATATAAACCCTCGCTACACGGTGCGGCTAAAATACCAATTTTATTGTTTTTTTATCTAACATTGACTTAGTTAAATATGAATTCACAAATACGAAGTGATACACGGATACAATTATATTAACTAAACTCAATGTTGCACTTCGTCTTTTGAACGGTAAAGTCACATTATATATTTTTAAATCAAATTTGGTGAGGAGGTCAAGGTTATTAAATATTTTATTTCTAGTGGAGTTGAAATTAAGTATGTTGGGAAAGTTACAGTAAAAAAATTACAATAAAAAAATGAAACGTTACTATTCTCTTTCAAGAAGCCCGTAGATAATTAGGCTGAGGCACATATACATATTTACTTTCTTCAAGGAGTGGTTTGACAAAGTCCACGATCCGACACAACAGTATATCTCTTGACTTGTCCCTCTAAAATATAACAACCCAACTAAATCGTTGTATGGACGCAAACCTATCTGCACAACCAAAAGAGTACAAAGCTCCACCACAAAAGAACAACCTTTTTGGCCAGTAAGAAAACAATGAAAGATGGAGTAGAGAAGATGGTCGTAGGAGAAATGGGATTCTGAGATGATAGATTAAGCAAAATGATGGAAAAAAACGCTTTTATTTATTCGTCACCCCTTAGTTAAGGGTAATAAGCACAAAATATCAAAGATAAGTTACAAGAGATAAAATGAAAAGCTAAGGCCATCTTCAATGAAGAGGACTAAAGGTCTAAAAGTCAAAAAATGATTTGATTTGTCAAAAAATATGTCTTCAACCGAAAACTGAGTTATAACTCTAAAAACCCACCATGCCATTTTTGGCCAACGGGCATTAGGTTAGCCAAATATAGCCCCCTTTTGACCCTTTTTTTGGGTCCAGCTACTCAGTTACAATAATTGATTCAAATTCAACGGTTAGATTTGAAAACATCCAACGATAGTTTATCTAAATGAACTAATAAATTAAAGTTAAAACTAATAAACTATTGAGGGACTATATTTAGCCTTTTCAGTTGGAGATGGTATATAAGTATGAACTGATACTGGTCATTTAAAAACAATGTTTTACAGAGTTATAATTTTAAACGGAGCTATGTTTAGCCCCTTCGATTGAAAATGGCATGAGAGACTCTATCTTAATTTTCCAATAACAATGATAATTAACCTAATAATGAAAATGCTACAAGTGGTCACAGTCGCATTTAGCTGTGACGAGAACTCAATATGACCCTTTGTAAAACACTAACACAAAATATCAAAAAAAGTTTGAAAAATATGAATTTGAAAAGAAAAAAAAGTGACTAGAACAATGTGTTTTTCGCTTTGCATTCCAATTCTTCTCTTCTTACAATTTGGATAAATTTACTACATCACATTGGCTGTTAAAAAAGCAAAAAAAAAAAAAAAAAAAATCCTCAAAACTAATTTGAAAACAAAATACAATAATCGGAGGTATTTGATCCGTGAAGGCAAAATATAAACTTGTTTCTTTTTTGAAAACAACCCTTCCAACAGAGACGCAGATATTTTTAAAATGTATTTATTTAACAAGAAAAGTGGACGGTGGAAGCGCGGGCATCTCAGAGAAGCAAGCAGTCAAAAGGTCAAGAGTCAGCAAATCAGCCCGCCTCTGCGGACACCTTAAATCATATTTCGTTTTGGATCAAACAAAATCCAACGGATCCACGAGAACCAGAATGGGTCCTACCCAATTCAGATCCCGCCACGTAATCTTTCTTTATATCTGCTAGGGCAGGCCCCAGTTGCTTGTGAGGTTAATGACATCGAAAGTTCAGTGTATGTTCCCCTTACTCGTTTTTGCTTATATCGGCTGGACTAGTAGCTTCAACTATATATAAGCATCCACGTTACAGTAAGCTCCTCCTAATTTCCAAAGTCTCTCCTCCTTATTTCCAAAGTCTCTCCCTTAATTTGCTCTCTATTTCTTGCTTTTCATGCTTCCTTGGATTTTGGGTGTTGTGGCTTTTGCTTCTTTTTAGAGAGAGAGAGAGAGAGAGAGAGAGAGAGAGAGAGAGGATGAAGAGGTGTAACAGTGAGTCTTCTTCCAAACCGGACAGGAAGACAGTGGAAAGAAACAGAAGAATTCACATGAAAAGTCTCTGCTTCAAGCTTGCTTCACTTGTTCCTCCTCAACACTTCAAAACCACCAACTCCAAGGTATACAAATATAGTCATCACCCTCTCTAACTAGCTTTGAAAGATCAGTATCCCTTTACTTAAGAATGGAAAAATGATTCACTGTATCATTTATGACATGTTATGTTGTAAGACGGTGAATATGAATCATTCAATAATCTAATGACGTAACATATCAAATATCTGGGATGAGAGAACGTTGATCCTTAATTAAAATATTTCAATAGAAATCAAATTTTATTATTGGCTTTACTGATTGCAATATTCCTTTCCCCTATTGATCAGGATACCATGTCACAGCAAAATCAGCTTGATACTGCGGCATCCTATATAAAGAAACTGAGAGAGAGAATCGAGAATCTGAAAGAGAGGAAGGAGAGAGCAATGAGGTCACAATTAGGCAGTTCTAAGTCTGACATTGGCTATATTGACCCAGAAAAAACCGCGATGATGGGCTCAAGATTGCCAGTTATTGAATTAAGAGACTCGGGTTCAAGCATAGAAGTGATGCTGATCAGTGGGTTGAATAAGAACTTCATGTTTTATGAAGTCATCAGTGTTCTTGAGGAAGAAGGAGCTGAAGTTGTCAGTGCTAGCTTTACCACCATAGGCGATAAAGTTTTCCACTCGGTGCATGCTCAGGTACTAAAACATTTATCCGAGAAGCTAATATCGTCTTACCCTTTATTTTAACCTTAAAAAAAATACTAAAACAATTAATTAAGGTCATTTATGAAACGGAATTAATTAATTTTATTTTGGTGATGATTCTTTGTAGGTCAAAATTTCTAGAGTTGGAGTAGATACTTCGACGGTATTGCAGAGACTACAGGATTTGATGTAGCTCGCTAGCTTTACCTTTTGAAAACTGAAGATTTATAAATAAGGTTTTAGCAACTGCATCATGAAAGAGATCCGAAAGGAGAGAGATGCTTAATTAGGATAAACTGATGTTCACAGTTGCTGGACGAGCCATTGAGCTAATGGTCAACAAATCAATTAATATATATATATATATATATATATATGTATGTATATAAACACACTCACAGATGTCTGGAGTTAACATTTTGTTTGTTGTTTTTCCCCTTTCTACATCGGTCTCAAAGTATTGATTCTTAACCATCTTTATAAAAAAAATTAGAAAATTTCATGTTTATATACAAGATTACACATAGAGGGTGTTGAATCCTTAATATTATGTTTTTACACATATTCATCCTCATGAAATCGATCAGAAGAGAGATTTCAAGAAATGGAAAATCTATTCACCTTACCAGTAACCAAGCTGGATCTGGTGTATCATAAGAGATTTGCCTTTTCTATTGGATTGGATAAAAATAAAAATAAAAACAATTCTTGAATGAGGTATATATTCAACTCCAGGGACATGTCGCGATGAGTGGGGCTCATGCCATAACATAATCGGCTGATCCAAGATGTATTCTTACAAGTAAAGGGGGTTCGGACAAATATTGGTTGTGTTTTGGAAGGTTATGAGCCGAGTGACAAGTTCAATCACAATAAGGATTTTTTTATAGACATGAAATAAGGGTTAAATGATCATAAACAAGTTTCAAACTCGCATCTATATATATATATATATATAGAATCATTGCCTTACATTGATACAGGAAGTGAAGGTTAGGGTTTTCAGGGGAGGAACGTCGGTTTGGAGAGAAGAAAGGAAAGCTAGGGTTTTAGAGTTGTGAGGCAGAGGGCAAACCTATACCATGTAGAATTATGTGTTCTCGCGTAATTTTGTTGCAAATTAACGTCCATTTTATATAATTACAGCAAGACTAGATTTAGTAGCTAGGATTCTAGCAGTGATACATAGGTGAAGCTTAATTAAAATAACAAGTCTTACATAAACATCTTAAAATTATGGACTTTTCTAACAAGAAGCGAAAGCGAAGGAGAGAGAAACAAATATAGGACTTCAAATGCCAAAGTAAATACTTATAACTACTTGAACTATATATATATATATATATATATATATATATATATATATCCCCCTTGCAACCCCATAAAATGCTCGAAAACTATATTATATAACATAACTATTTTTTTCTAGTAATATAGTTTGTGTAAAACTAATCAGTGTTAATGTGCTTATCATATGAAACGGAGTTTATTCCCTGTCTACCATTAGGTTAATAAGTTTTTGTACAACTATTTTAGTATCATATATGGGGACAAATCTGTGGCACCATATTTTTTACGCAAAATTTGACACAAGTTTTAAAACCATTAGCTTATCCCATTATCAATGTTTAAGACTTAGTCTGATATCTAATTAGTTATTATAATTTCCCTTCATAAGAAATTATTATTACTTTTTTTAAACTTATATACAAAATAACAATTAAAATGCACAGTAATCAATCAAGCCTCGTATGGTATGAATTTCAAAGGTTAATCAAGTAAGAAAACTCTCAATGGCTCTCCATCTCCAGTTTTTATTCACCACTGCAGGCCAAGGAAGAACATTCTCTCCCCTACGCAGGCACTCCTTCATATTGGATTTTCAAAGTTGTTCCGTCTCTTTTCCTTGTTCACGTTGAGTGAAAGAACCTAAATTTTCTAAAAAAAATTTGACCATCTTCCAAATACAAAAGGTTCATTGCTCTTCTTTAGTTTTAATCCGGGTAATTTGGAAACTAAAAGGGTTCCTCTTTTTCGACATGAGTATCAAAAAACAAAATTGTTCTATCAGCCAACGCTATTTCTTCCCTTCCTTGTTATTCATCTCTGGAATTCAAAAGAGTTCTGCAATGATTTGCACAATTAATATTTAACATCGTTTAGCAGAAGCAAAAAAATTATCTCAAGTGAGGATGGATAGAGAAGAAAGATGGAAGTTTTTTTTTTTTTTTTGGCAGCACTGTACGAAGTATGAACTTAAAGCTGGGGTTAACTTTCAATAAAAATAGAGAACAGAAGAGATTGCTGGTGAAGACCAAGAGAAAAGAAAAGGAAAGAAATGGAAAGTTAATGGGGATTAGAAGAGATTGTTGGTGAAGACCAAGAGAAAAAAAGAAGAAGAAAGGTTTCATATTTTTACTTTCAATGTAAGTTTTTATTTTATAAAAATCAAATTAATTAATTATCATATTTGGTTAAACCTCAACTACTGATAGTGGGATAGTTTAATAGTTTAAAACTTGTGTTAAATTTTAAGTAAAAATATGGTGTAACGGATTTGCCCTATTAATAATTATTTTTGTACGTATAACTAGTTTGTTCTCCTAGCTATGTGCCAAAAATACTACCTATACATTCGTAACTTGTAAGGAAAAATTACAGATGTCCATATAAACCAAACACATTCTTTTCCAAATATTTTTTAAAATGATAAAGTGAAGCTTTAATCCTTTTATTGAATAAAAAGGCGAAGGGAATAATGAAAATTTGACACCTATTTTAGCTGTTAGTAAATTCATCACTTATTTATTAAATATTACAGAAAATAAATATAATAATATATAGTTATGTTTTAGTAAAACATATTTATAGTCAGTCTTACATGCAGTTAAAAAAATTTCATCATACTGTTGTTTTCATTACGATTTATCTTCTAGTTACGATTCGGCATGGATCTACTTTGTAATCCCATACCCAAGAAGACTAACTGTTGTACAGTCAAACATATATAACATACCTTCCACAGTCCCAATTATTCATGTTACTCACATATGATTTAGTCATCAAAACGCATGCATTCACCAATGCATGTGTATGAGAAAATTTTAGAATATATTAAAGTGATGATGAGGGGATTTGGATCCTCTCCTGAGCCTAATGAGATGATCCTTCTGATCAAGCAGTGTATGTTGTTGGATTTTTATCTAACAGCTACAAACATGAGGATCTCTTTAAAATTATATTAATTATAATCGTTAAATAAAAATTCAACGATCCACATTGCTTGATCAGGAGAATCTTTTTCTTGTGCTCAAGAGGGATCCAAATCCATGACGAGGGATACCGATACTAAAGTTCACACAGAGACAGCGGAAAGCCATGTGCAGGTTTATAATAAGTACGGCTGACTTTCAAAGACCACTCGTACGGCCGCATGCATGAATAGTTAGTCTTTTAGGGGAACGGAAGAGTCAAATTCTATGTAGAAAATTAATTTTGGAATTGAGCGTCAAACCAGCTAACACGCTTTTCAGGTTTGGATGCTCGTATTATTTGTTTTTCAGGGATTCCGCCTATTCCTCACAAGGTCTTTATTTTTCTTTTTGTGTTATGATATCCTCCATGAAACTTTTGGATTAAACTTTATACGAATGGTTTGTCTAAAGAAAATTTTGGTCCTGTCACTTGTGGGGGACGTTTTCAGAGATTGTTGTAATCGGTTTTTTGGTGGTTTATGTTAGGATATTGGCCATTGAAATTCCTCTTTTCGCTGAACTTTATTTCATTATTATTGGTGTGGAATTTTTTTTTTTTTAAAGATTGACATTATCTATGGTTAGAAAGTAACTCTTCTAGTATTATTTCTATTTCTCTATTAGAATGATCTTGATCCTCCTTGTCTTCTTCTTCTCTTACGTATTTCAAGATGGAAATGTTGTAGCCGATAGTTTTGCTAACATAGGCATGCCTTCTACTAATTTGGTTTGGCACAATTCTCGGTTGTCCATACTGCTTTGTTTACAGATTATGTGTGCTTGCATGGATTCCGCTTTACAAACTAATGCGTATCCGATAATGATCTTTTTTTTTTTTTTTTTTTTCTTTGTGGGTTTTGACTTTGTCCCCCCTTGCATTTATTCTTTAATGATTTTTATTATTTACTAAAATTATATAAATACGGGACAAGGGATCAGTTTATTGTAGAGTTAGCCCTTTCTAAACTCTCTGAGTAGGAAAGAAGTAACCTAATTTGCAGGTAATGGCTAAATTTCGGGATCTTAATTCTTTCTGATTGTCATGTGCTGGTTTAGAGAGTAAGATTAATATGGTAGACCAATGACCAAGCCTTATATGTAGCTAACTTCCTCAATCATTTATCATCCTTTTACCAAAAAACAACTAACACGATTAGCTTTATGATCTTTTCAGCTGATAGATGCATGTGAATTTGTTATATATATATATATATATATATTAGATGGAGCGCGCACACTATGCGTGTCTAAAATTTTCTTTCGGTTGAAATATTTGTGTGCAATTTAAAGTGAGAATATAAAAGAAAATAAAAAAAATCGTTGAAAATGGAAGTAACGTGAGAAAATGTAGAAAGTGGGGGAGAGAAAGTTGAAAAGTAAGATGGATTGAATTTACTATCTTCGTTATTTCACAATGTTTCAGTTGATAAAGAGTATTCTTTTTAGTAATACTGTTTGTATATATATAAATACACACACACACACACATATATATTTGTGTTGGGGATGGCTCTTGGATTAACAATGAGTGATATCACGTTACAGATTGAGGCGTAGGGTTGGGGCTCTTGGTTTCACAGCTGGGCGGAGACTAAAATTGAGTTTCAAACAGCCAAGAAAATTAGATTGGTACTTGACTACTGCGATTCACATGGTGATCAAAGATTGCATAATTTCCAACCTAATAAACGGTGTGCATGTGTGCTATATGCATAATTTCAAACAAAACAAAACAAGTTTAATTCTTGCTGGAGTGATGATGGGGAAGATGCAAAAGATGCGTAGTGACTTCCTCGAAGATGGTTGATGGCTGACGACGACGTCGCCCAAACATCAACCTTGCGTCACGTTGCCTTTGAGCTCTCGGGCTGGCAACTCGGGCCTACTTGGAGTGGTTGACGAGGATTTGAAGCTTTTGATTTATTTAAAGAGCTATGGTCAACCTTCACAAATATACTCCTCCCATGGCAATAACTTGGACTTTTAATCACACTTCGATAAGGAGAATCGTAAAGTGAGACTTTTTATGGATTTTCTACTATTTTATGCTTTTGGGATAATTTATATGTCAACATTATAAAATATTGTGAAAAAAACATGAAATGGTAGAGAGTCCACGAAGAATT